GTCCGGCCACCAACATTAGTCGTGAGGCTTTTCAGAAGGTAGATTATTGGGCTTTTAGATGATCCATTACCCAGAGATTTCAAGATCATTTTATGAGGACTTTATGACATGAGTTTAGGTTTCCTATAAGCGCAAGCCCCTATAATTAATTACCCTCTCAATAATGAGAGAGAATTTTTTTATTAAGGCTAATCATTAAATAGATACATATTATCCAATATATAGTAGCGGGGGGGGGATAAATGATGATGAAGATGATCTTGATCAATTAGCCCATCATGATCCCCATTCAACTTAGTCAGGGGAGATAGTCGATCAACCCTACCTGACCCTGGTAGAAATCACAGGTGGATGTTAAAATGGCAGAGCTGAGAATGGGTTTAATGACTTCAGGAAGGAGTAGAACGAGCTCATCGCATCCGATGAGGTTTTTGCCTCAACACCCTCAAAGGGAGCAATTATTAGGTCCTTTCACTGGATGTAGAAGAAGGTTCGGTTTTAGGCAAAAATAGGTCAAAAAGTGCAAATACCGAGTTTATAAAAAAACTCGGTATTTTTTCAAAAAACTCGGTATTTGCACTTTTTTAGGCAAAACCGAACCTTCCTCCAGGTTCTTGCACCGGACCAAATAAAAATCCCCTCAAAGGAGCCGCTTCCCTACATCGCCATCGCTGCCGCAAGAGCCCTCTTCTGCCACGGTGAAGCCAGGCCTTCCCTACTCAAGCTGAGCCCAAGAGAAAACACTAAGAAAGTACCAAGAGAAGAACCGTCTCCGAAGTTGAACAGTTGCACAATCCCAAGAACCGTCGGCGAGGCTGCCATCGACTGACGTGTATCCTGACATGGAGAATATCTGCTCAAACAAGTCATCAGGGTTGAGGTGTGTTCGCCGTGACAGGGAAGATGAGAAGAGGAGTGCCGGACGATGGGAGAGGTGGAGGACGGGAGAGGCGGACGGTGCTTGACTCGCAAGTCGCGAGTGCGAGCAGGATGGCAAGGAATCAGATCAGCGGGATTTGAAATCCTGGATTTCATGTTACAGCGTTAGAATGGGTTCCATGTTATTCTCTGAATCAAACTCGACCATATTTTTGAAATGGGTCCATTTATTGAACTCAAATCCGACCCGTTTGACAAACGGGTTGATCATAACAAAAAATTTTTAGGTCAGATTTTCAAGCCGTGTCAAATATTGACACTCCTATGTTCATGTCTAAAAACTTAACCCATTTTTTAAATGGGTCGAGTTTTTGTCAACCCGCTTGTCACACCCCAGAATATAATTTTAGAAGAATTCTTTCTTTTATCTTTTATTATAACATTAACTAGAGCTATATAATTTCATACATCATTAATAAACAATAGAAATAAACTCTATAATTCAAAATATCAATACACATTTGTACTCAATGACCCAAAAGCACATGAATTCCTAAATCTTGCTGTGTGGGATTTTTTCAATTTAATTTAGGTATTTGGCATAGCAAAAAATATTTTTTTAATAAATAGGTTTGCAGGTCGTGTCGGGTAGACCAGGACCCAAACTGGGTCGAGTTTGTGTCTAATTCTGTGATCCGTTTTCTAATCGGATCGGGGTCGGGTTCGGGTTGAGTCAAGTGATAGAAGGATATTTTTGGGTTGAACCTGAACCCGACCCTAAAATCCATTTTGATGCCTCTAATAACTAATTATGAATTACATTGCTTAAATTGAATTTTATAACTTATATGAGATGACACTGTTTATATTGACTGCTAGATACTTTACATTTATATGTTTATACATCAAATATATATGTATATATATTTTCCTGAAATTAGTGAATTAGTAATTTAATTTTTTTAAATTTTGATTAATTCATTTTAATAAATTTTTTCTTAGTATTATTTTCAATTTTCATGTTGTCCTTTTTAACTGAATTTTCATGCAATTCGACTACATAAATCATGCCTTGACATGAATTTTTTTTTGTCTGCATTAAATAAAAATCAAAAGTTTAAAATTACAAACATGCTCTAGCACCTTAACGGACCTGACGATTTTGTGTTGAACACTGATTGGTGGAATTTTGCATGTAAATTATGGGTGCTAAAGTTTCAACAATCTCATCAATTGTACAACTCGTATCCAATGACTAAACCAAGCGATGACCACCTTCATGGTCGTAGGGAGAAAGTGAAGTAAAGATGCCGAGGTGGAAATTTGATTTGTGGGAAAATGACTTGAGCAACAAACACTCACAAGTTTGAAAATTAGATGCAAAGATTTTAAAAAGTGAAAATTTTATTTGCCTATCTTTGGAACAATTATTAGGTCAGGTGACCTAACGTAGCTCTACGTTCGGACGCCAATAATATGTTGCCACGTGCTCTTACTCTTTACCGCGCGGCTCGATGACCTGACCCGGGATTACTATATTCACGTATTGCTCGATATTGCTAGGTATTGCTCGGTATTACTCGGTATTGCTAGGTATTGCTTGGCAATAACAAGAAATACCGCTCTGTCAAGACCAATACCGAGAAATACCGAGCAATACTGAGTTTGTATTAGTCGGTATTGCTCGGTATTGGTCTTCACATAATGGTATTTCTCATTATTGCCGAGCAAAATCGACCAATATCTAGCAATACCGAGTAATACTTAGCAATACGTGAACATACCAATCCCGGCTTCGTTCCGGGTCAGGTTGTCGGGCCGCGCGGTAAATAGTGAGAACAAGTGGCACTAATTTACTGGCGTCCGAACGTAGATCTACGTTAGGTGACTGGACCAAATAAAAGTTCCTATCTTGGACGTTCTCTTTTCATCCGATGAGCATTTATCTGCATTTTACATGCTTATTGCAATTCTTTTAAGGAGAGGGAGGTTACTAGGTAAATGACCATAACTTGGAATCAAATCCATTTATACTCGTTGATTATTAAGTCAAATAAGAATTAGGATTCCATAGAATATCCCATTACTATATGGACCTCAATGCTTATCTCCACTCGTTCTTTAAAATGAACACTTACCATTGCCCTCAACTAATGCTGGCATGAATTTTTATCCATCATTTACCTATCAACTCTATCATTCTTCAATAGTTGGCACCATCACTGCAAGAAACATCCATTATAGTTGATGTGTCATCAAAAAAATTATATTGATCTGACACGAATCTCAAGGAAAAAATCAAATTTGAAACTTCAAAAATTAAATCTTAGGATCATATGAACTTCAATTTCACTGAACTTATAGTCGAACTGAGCATCTCGGAAATACGAACCCAACGACATCAAATTCAACTCGATTCGAGCCCAAATAGGTGAAAATCAAATACCCGAAGCACATTCGGAATGTTCAATCCATAATTTGGATTACCAATCAGTTTTCAAATATGACATGCTTATAGTTGAATCAAGCGGCTCGATGAGACGAATCCAACAAGCCCAAGATCGCCAAATTCTGATATCATTAAGACCTTCAAATGTCTGACGATCAGTCCACGATTAAGGGATTCAATATCGGCCGTCCATCCAAACCACTCCACATTTGCCCTTGATCATCCTATTTACGGGTCATGCCATTCTCAGAAAACTATAAATAGCCCCTCATTTCTCTTAAGAGAGGAGGGGAAGCAAGAAGAAGAAGAGAAGGGAAGGAGGGAATAAATTCCTACTCGACCACCGCCAGAATTCTGTCCAACTTCCACGGGATGCCATAATTCTGCCCGACTTCCAAGTGACGCCGGAGTTTCACCTGGCTTTCAAGTGACGCAGGAGTTCCGCCCGGCTTTCAAGTGACGCAGGAGTTCTGCCCGGCTTTCAAGTGACACCAGAGTTCTGTCCTATCTCCAAGTGACTCTGGAGTTTTGTCCGAATACCATCTAACGTTGGAGTTCTCCCATGTCCCTGACTGACGTCGGACTTCTACCCGACGCTGGATCTCCACTCGTCGCAAGATTTTTACCCGACGTCGGACTTCTGCCCGTTGTCAGATTTTTGTCGAACATCTATTCGATGTTGGATTTTTGTCTATTGTTGGACTTCTACCCGATGTCGTCTTTCTGACCTCCGTCGTTAGACAACGGTCATTCAGACCTCCGTCCCTCGTCAACTACGATCCTTCCGACTTACATCGCCCACCGACTACAGTCCCTCTAACCTTTGTCTCATGCCGACTACGATCCTTCCGACTTATATCGCCCACCGACTATGGTCCTTCCGACTTATGTCGCCCACCGACTACAGTCATCCCGACCTCCGTCGTCAGACAACGGTCTTTATGACCTTCGTCGCTCGCCAACTACGGTTCTTCCGACTTACGTCGCCCGTCGACTACAATCCTTCTGACCTCCGTCACCAGACTATAGCCTTCTGACCAAACGAATAAGTCAACAATGATTTTTTGTAATCCCACCATATAATGTACTCCATATGATATACATAGAGCCAAGACCTTTCCCCCAAGGAAGGACCTCATTTGTAATCAACTACAAATACTAGTGGATTCATTCAAATTGGGCTATGCCCCGTGGTTTTTCCCCCTTTTCAGGGGTTTTCCATGTAAAAATCTTGGTGTCTCATAAATGCTACACCCTTTCTCTTATCTGATTGTGTGTCAGATTTTTGTACAAAGCTAATAACGCTAAACTTTATATTTATCTACCGCCGCGAATATTCCAGGACGCAACAATAGTTTAAACCCAAAATTCTAAATCCTAAACCCTAAACTATTAAGTCAAATAAAAGTAAACCTATGTTCAACATTGAGCTAAGTAAAATATTCATTTTGAATCAAATAAATTAAAATTTTTTAAAGGACACGACATGCCCTCCTAAATTCGCCGAAATATGTACATTAAGGTCACAAAATTTTACTTTTTTTGCAACAACAATGTTAATAACCACGCAGTACTATAAATATTTCTCAGACGGAAAATAGAAATCGACTCAAGTAGCAATTGAGCTATTCAAAGTTCAAGCAGTTGATTTGTAGGGTTCAGAATGTAATAAGTAGTACTTGAGGAGTATAAGTAGAAATAAATTCGTTTCCACTCCGTTAAAAACCCGCTCCGAATTTTTCTCCTTCCAAATCCTTGTCTCTAACCCCAACCCGCAACCCCTCTCCTCTTTGTTCTGGTCTTCTGCTATTTATCTGCATGATTTAGGAGCGCGACGTCGGCGTTTCTTCAGGCTTGGGCTCTTATCACGCTGATCGATACAGATCACAGCCATGTCGTCGTCCTCGGCAGCGGCGGCGACGGCGACGGCGACAGGTGTCTTTAAGATCTGCTTTAACGCGCACTGCAAGGAGGCGTTAGCGGAGCAAACTCGCCGTAAAGGATGGCGTCTGCGTTCTGGCGAGTTTGCCGAGCTCTGCGACCGCTGCCAGTACGCACTTTCGCCTCCTCTAGTCTTCCCCCCCTCTCTTCTTCCTTGCCCTTTTAACGAACTTAATTTACTTTTTGACTTTTTCATCGATTTCAAGTCCTTATATTGGCAGAAAAGTCCTCGTGAATTCATTTTTTTCGGTGGGTAATTTAGCTATTTTTGGGCTCTATTTGGATAGTTGGTTACGGGTCTTAAGGAAATTACCGATTTTTTTAGAAAATATCGAAATTTCGAATTTTATGGGATTTTCTGTTGTTTTTGAAGTAGATTTGACTAAGAATCTTCATGCTCAATTGGACTGCATGCTTAATAATGCTATCGTGTCCTGGTCCGAGTCAACTAATTTTGAATCTGTAGCGAGTGATCACATATATTGAAGTGAATATTTCGATCTGGGTTTGTTGGCTTACGTTGTTTGCTAACATTGCTCGACTGCAGTTCTACTTTTGATCAAGGTAACTTCTGCGAGACTTTCCATTCAGATGCTGCTGGGTGGAGGAAGTGCGAGTCGTGTGCCAAGGTAAGAAGCTTAGTTGGAGCGTGGGATTTATTTGTTGGAGTTCATTGATCGATGGTTTTGCGCCTCACTGCTACTTGGAAATATGCGAGCTTGGATTGAATATTCTGCTTACTATATTGCTATTTATAATTGAGCTAGAACATCTTTCTGCAGAGGATTCACTGTGGTTGCATAGTTTCAATCCCTGCTTATATGCTTCTGGATGTGGGAGGAGTTGAGTGTATGGCTTGCGTTAGAAAGGCTTACTCAGCGGTAAGCACTAAACTTTGTTAGCCTTAATTGATTGGCTCTACACCACCAAGCATTGATATTAATTCTTCGTTTACTTTTTGGTTATTTGCATTTTTTTAATCCTCCTCCGAAGGAATTTTGCCAATGTTACTGTGATACCTCTCATTTGCCTTCTTATTCTTTGACCCGACTAGCAGCTTCCTTATATATGCTGCTGCTTTTACATTATGCTGTTTATTCATACCTTCACATGACGATTCGTGTGATGTGTCTTACCAACAGAAACTATTTTGTGCCGGTTTGAACTGAATAGTTATTTAACTGTCCTGTTGTGGATTATGCTTGGAATGCCTATGTTATCTCTGCGGGTAACCAACATAATTGGAAGTGAAATCCTTAGCTTACAAACTTTCATGAAGAAATTATGCTTATGTGACTTTTGGCATTCTTTATGATGGTCTATTGTGCTGTCTTCAGTACAAAACTGTAAAGAAAATGTACTTGTTTGAAACCAGCAAGCTGTTTATGATGCTGCTCTTAAGGAGGTGGTCCACCAATCAAGCGAGATGTATCCATTAACATTGATAAGTGGAGCTTGCAGAGCAAACTGATTAGGTAACTTATTGAAGTATAAACATCAGTATGGGGCATCCAAGGTGCTCAACAGTAAATATATGAAATATATATACAGATAGAATTATAAGAGTAAATAGGTAATATCAACCAAGTTCAACTACAAGAAGTAACTGATGAACATTCAAACTATATTTAATATATAATGGGTGTATTTAGGAATGTATATCTTCTAGCAAGATCAAATAGCAATGTTTTAGTGTCTAACAATAACCATTAATCTATTGGAAGATCATTAACAACCAGGCATAGTGTATCAATCTCTCTTAAGAGTGCCATCTTTCTAAATATTTGGCCTATCATTCAGCTTAGCTAGCAGCATATCACTTAATAGGGCTTTGTGGACAATCAAATCCATCATGTATGCAATATTTTATATACATAAAAGAGATATCATGAACAATGTTTAAGTCTTAGTATGAAACATGAATATTTATGTAGTAAAGATCCATCTACAGATTCATAAAAAAGTATGCCAAATTAAATATCAAGTGTACACCATGAGCAGTCAACACATAACTACTAGAGGTATTCAATCATATACATGAAAATATGCTAATCATGCATAATCCATACTTTTAAATCAAAGAAATATATTTATAAAACATCTTCTAACATGCATGTTAGAATGACAACTGTCAACTATGTTATATATATGGATAACACCCTACAACACAATCATAGAAGCCACTAGTCTAAAATTGCTTTGCGGTGTATTGAAATTGGAGAGCAAGGAATGTGAAGAAGTGCAATCGACCATATGCTACTCCCACCATCATGGCAGCTACTGTTTTGGTTTCTCTTACTCATCATTGGGATTTTCCCATTTGTTAGCACTGAGATTCCATTTAACACTATGAGCTATACTTTTCTCACTCATGGTGTCTCCCCTCTCCTTGATGCATCAAGGGGAATGTCGACGGAGCCCTTTTAGCATCTGGCAAAGCTGGTATGGGAGAGGTCCTCAGTATTGAACATAGGGATTTTATAGTTGTTGCTGTTCACATCTATGAACATTGGGATAGTGCCCGCATTGAAAAGGAATCCATGCTTTCCATCAAGCATATCATTGAATCATGGATGTATGATAGGAAAAACTTGAATATACCAGGTAAACCCTAACAAAGATAGAGAAAAACAGAAAACGATTTGATGCAGTGCACGATTGCTCTGAGGAGGCGTGAGATATCTTATGCCATCCTAACGACTTCTGCCATCCACTACGCAGTGTTATTTTCAGTTATCACTATTACCCTTTAGCTTTATTTTAGCAATTTTAAATATAGCAAATTTTAGTATTCTAAAAAATACTTATAGCCGAGAATGGCTAGGGAGAAAGACAGTTTTTATTTGATGCTTTGTCTACTAATGAATTAGTACAAACACCTGAATATACAAGTTTGAGGAATTCCAGCGTTGGATTGTTCTTTTGTTATTGCTCTGTTTCTTTGCAGGTATTGAGGTTTGCAATAGGTTGGTATCAGAGCCTCGCCTGAGAAGGAGATGACAGATCGCAGTAAGGAACCCATCACCGATGAAGTGCGGAGTCTTGGCGTGCTTTGGGCAAACCAGAATAACGTTAACTACAGGCTGGATGAGCTAGCGGCCAACGTGCAGAGGCTTACCGTGGAGATTCGCCGCGAGTTCAATCTCATTCGTGCGAGGCAACCACAGTAGTAGCCGACGCAAGTCGAACAACATGGAATCAGGCCAATGCGATGAAGGGGTGTGGCTGCGGCCAGACCGTTCTGTCGCATTCCCGCAAATATATAGGAATTTTTCAGATTCTGAGGAGGAGACCCAATTCCACAGAGAAACAGATTTGATAGAGTATGCAGACGATGATGAAGGCAACCCGCATCATTTGGATTTTCAAAGGTATCGGAGACCAATGCTTCCCCATTTTCTGCCAGATGAATTCAAGGCTAAACTTGATATTCTTTATTTTGATGGTCGTATGCATATAGAAGATTATTTGGATTGGGAAAAAGCAGTGGAAAACTTCTTTGAATACATGGAAGTTAGTCCGGATAAACAAGTGCGCTATGTTGCTTGTCGATTAAAGGGCGATGCTAGCGCTTGGTGGGCGCATATTTTACAAATGAAACAAAAGAAGGCAAGGGGAAGGTTCGGAGTTGGAACCAGATGAAGCAGCTGTTGCGAGCTCAGTTTTTGTCTACAGATTACGAGCATATATTATACATGAGGTATCAACATTGTACCCAAGGTTCGAGGTCCGTGAGCGATTACACAGAGGAGTTTAATTGATTGTCAGCTAGAAACAATCTTAATGAGTCTACTAATCATTTAGTGGCACGTTATATTAGCGGGTTAAAAGACAGCATTCAAGATCGCTTGGAATTGAATTCCGTATGATCGATTGCTCGAGCCGTGAATTTTGCTATGAAGATAGAGATGCAACATAACAGGCAAACCAAAACCCCCTATAATCAGTGTCATTGGCAGGAACCTGTTGTGTCCGGTAAAGGAAGCAATCTGATAGTTAAGACATCCCAAAATATTGGCCCGTCAATGCAGGCTCCTACACCAAGCCACAATCCCACAGATCTCCGGGCTCAACCGAAACCAAGACATATGGTCGAAGAAAATCCCTACGCCAAGCCGTCAACACTCAAATGCTTTCGTTGTTTTCAATCGAGACACAAGTCAAATTAGTGTCCACAAAGACAGCTAGTCAATCTGGCAGAATGTGAAGAAGAAGGAGAACATGCTATTGAGGAACCAAGAGTGTGACTCGGAAGACGCTCCTGCTGATGAAGGGGAAGCACTGGTGTGTGTGATGGAAAAATTTCTATTAGCCCCTCGATAGAACATAAATTCACAATGCCACTCCATTTTTAAAACTCGCTGCACTATAAGCGGCAAGGTGTGTGATCTCTTGATCTACAACGGATGTACTGAAAATGTGGTTTCGAGAGCCGTGGTGCAAAGTTTACAGTTGTGTACCATAAAAAATTATCATCCGTATAAAATAAGTTGGGTCAAAAAGGGGATGGAAATTCTGGTTTCCGAGTCATGCCGGGTGACCTTTTCTATAGGTAAACAATATGTATGTGAAGTTTTATGCGACGTCCTGGACATGGACATTTGCCAATTGATCTTGGGAAGGCCATGGCAATTTGATGTGGGTGCGATGTATGACTGCCGAGCTAATGTGTATTCTTTTGATTGAAAAAGACGTCGTCTCTGGTTGCTACCCAGCTTAACTAAAACAAAATCACCTCTACCTAACCAATCTCGGCAGGCCGCTGTGCAAATAGTCACGGAAGTGGGACTTCTTCATTGTTGGAGAGAACCTGCTCCCTTATATGCTTTACTGGTGACCGAGCAGAGCACTATACTACATCCAACAAAATGGCATGGTGAGATTCAGAAATTGCTCTAGCAATATAGAAAGATTACTCCCGATAGTTTACCCGAGGAATTGCCGCCACTCCGGAGCATACAACACCAAATAGACCTCATGCCCGGTGCAATTTTACTGAATATGCCTCATTATAGGCTCAGCCTCAAAGAGCAGCTCATTCTACAGGAGCTAATTGATGATTTATTAAAACAACAGTTCATATAGCAAGTTTGAGTCCGTGTGCTGTACCGGCATTACTAGTGCCAAAGAAGGATGGGAATTGACATATGTGTATTGACGGTCATTCTATTAATAAAATAACATTGAAATACCGATTTCCCGTACCTCATACTGAAGATCTGTTAGATAGACTCACGGGCTCTTCCATTTATTCTAAACTTAATTTATAAAACAGATACCACCAGATTCTCATACGCCCTGAGGATGAATGGAAAACGGCGTTCAAGACACCGTAGGGTCCGTACGAGTGGAAGGTTATGCCCTTTGGCCTATGCAACGCTCCCTCCACTTTTATGAGAATGATGAATGACATCTTGAAGTCTTATATAGGAAAATTCTGTATTGTATATTTTGATGATATACTAGTTTACAGTGAGTGTTGGGAAATGCATTTGGAACACTTGCAGACTCTCTTTGATGTATTTAGACAGCGAAGGTTATTTCTCAATCTTCAACAATGTGAGCTTGTTGTTCCTGAGGTACATTGCCTTGGATTTATTATAGTTGCAGCTGGTGTACACATGGACCCACATAAAATCAGTGCTGTTCGTGATTGGCCACCACCAAAATCCTTTTTCGAAGTACGAAGTTTCCATGGGCTTGCGAATTTCCACCGGAAATTTATAAAAGGCTTCAACATTTTGATGGCACCAGTGACTGATTGTTTAAAGGCGAAGTCATTCCATTGGGGAAATGCCAACAACAAAGTTTTGAGGCTATTAAACAAGCACTAATCTTCGCCCCTGTTTTAACACTTCCTAATTTCGACAAGGTATTTATG